ACCGAAGCAATTTAGCGCGGTTTTCGGTGCACCGCAGTGTATCGTAACAGCCCTACCAAATATATTTAGGAATTATAAGTTACAATACTTATAATGCTGGTCCAAATAGTAACTAGTGAATAACCTTACTTAAAGAAGTTATGTGGTGAACCACTCTTAGGTCATTCTCCCAAGATCAAGGTCATATCAAGAGGTCAAAGGAGAGTTACATATTGTATTCTTGACCAAACAATAGTTTCTAAATGACAGAAAAAATACTTTATGAGAATGAGATCATGTGTATCATGAACAACCCATTGATGTATGGTACATAACTCACACTACCAATGTCAATATTCCACAACATGAGGTCAGAAGTCACACTTTTGAATGATATGCCTGCAATGCCTGGATCATTGGTCTTGAGAACTTACCTGTAGATACCTGTGTCAGGTAGTTAATCTGTTGCGTTAGTTTTTTCTCCACCTCCATCAAAATCTTCATGAAGTTGGTGGTGTGTGTCTCGACTTGTTTCAACACAGGTTTGTCTTTTGCTAGTTCTTGTAGGGCCTGACCTGTCACAATCACACAAGAAACTGGGTTATTATATAGCCACATATTAACTAATCATACTAATTAAACCAACTCATGGTCATCTTTGGTGTTTAACTAATAACTGACACTGTGTGTGTAATAAATGTACTTTATATCACAGGGACCTGATACATTATGGCATGGCAATTTGGAATACATGCACCCTTCTTCAACAGTCAACTCTTTTTACTTGACTTTTATCTTATACCTTCTACAAAATAAACAGAAGAGGAACATAGTTACCGAGGCGATGTACGCATTCAAGTACAGGGTCTTGCAGCAATAAATAAATTGCATGTTAAAACATAAAATGATCAGCCTACCCTAATAGATACAGGTGCCTGGGGATATTTGTAACTAAAACCTGTTTCAGAAACCTATGACATGCCAACTCATTTATCCAGACATGCGTTCATTTCCATTCAGCTACGGACGTCAATTTTATATGAACGAGATAAAATAAGAATGTTTGATTTATCAACACCGTTCTATTTACCGGCACTTTGTATTGCTGTAGCAATATCCTTCTCAATGTTCTCAAGCTGCTGTAGCCGTGCTACCGGTCCTTCCGCCATTGTTGCATTATAGGTGTCGCTACCGTCGATTTTATTTTAAACTCCGATTTACATGATAATTGGAGAGTCGTCACAGCTATATAGGCATACTGTCATTTAATAATTAGCCAGACATTAGCAAAACGGACTTTAAACTGCGCATAAAACAGTCGAACGTTTAAAATACATCTACTTTCACATTGCGTGCAATTTACACAGATAATATGAAAATAGCAGAAACATTCCGAACATTAATTTTTCGGAAACGTTACTATGTTTGCACATGCGCAGTCATTTACGATTTTGCATGTTGAGCAGACAAACTGTCAAGTAAATTTCGAAAGGTAAAAGATGTTTCGAACAGTGCGGTACCTGCCATCTTTAATTCAGAGGAGTTCTTGGAACAATTCCAGAAATGTTGTCGGGTTTGTATTCCTTTGTCTTTTTACAAAGTTTAATTCAAGTTTATGCTATTTTCATCACTTGTCTATTTTTTGTTACACAACATTCAGCTGTCGACCAGCGACAGGGCAATGACTGCCTGGACTTTGACCCCACAAAAAATAGTACCTATACAGGTATATATGAGTCTGAGGAATATGACATATCGCTAGATTGGTCCATGGGTACAATGATAATTAATTTATAAATAATTACAGAACTAAAAGTATGGCAATTATTGACCGGTTGTTGTCTTCACAAGTTTTATATAATTTAGGGCCACTAGCTAGTAAACTACAGGTACATTTGTACTTGGCGCATACAAGGTTATATTATGGGTGTATATATTATAAACAGACAAGGCTATAGTGCATGTGAGAAAGCGACATGTTATTCCTTCACGAAGACTCAGTGACTTGTATACATGCTGCTGAAAAACTATTAAAATTAACACAAATCAAATTGGTTCAAAGCAAATATTATAGAATTAATTTGATACACAACATTCCACATCTCATGATCAGCATATACAGGTTAAATGCAGTACCTCAAAAAAGTATTGATGCTTAAATATGTTAATT